GTCCTTGGGCCCCCGTTGTACAAACTTGGGCCATTTAAAAAGGGGGGGATTCAACCCCCAAGATTCCCCCGGCCGGCAAGGCGGGCAGGGGAATTCGGGGAGTTGAAGTCCACTCATTTTAAAGTGGCCAAGTTTGGACAACAGTGGCCTAATGCATTAAGTGCAGTATGAATTAGATGAAGATTCTGTAGATCAGTAGACATGCCATTCTAGGATTTGGGACACAGCTTGTACTTTTTCTGAAGAAGCAGAGTTGCAGTTTGGAGATGTTCTTGGATCTATTATTGCTCCCTAGAGAACATATGGCTGTTTTGGACAAGGTGTGCCTTTGGCTAGCATACTAACTGAACACTTCCCTTGAAAGGCAAATCTAACCATGCACTTATGGTCCTAGAGTCACATTTATTTTAAGGTGTTGTATTTTCTACTTGAAAAAGATAATGTGCTTTCCTTGAAAAGTGTATAGAAACTTCAGCTGGTGGAAATGCTATAGCTAGACTTCTGTCGGGGTGGATAGATCATTTATATTATAATTTAAAGTTGATACCAACTGTCCAGCATAGTGAGTTAATAAGGAGTAGTTTTTAAATGCTGAAAGCAAGAGAATCCAAACAAATGCATTTTTACCTTTATATAAAAAATGAGGTTTTTGTTTCTTCCCTTTTCATATTTCTGTGTTTCATATGGTCATTCTTAGCTAAGGATCATCTGTAGTGTACATGAGTGATCAGGCTACCTTGCCATCGCTTTTTATAAAGTGCCAGATTTATCTGCTGCTTGCATCCCGCTCTCCCTCTCTCATGCTTGTTGCTTTCCAGGTGGGAGGGTGTTTGTTTTAAACAATTAATCTTCTTTCTCTGTTGGTAGTTTTAATACCATTAGTAAAGTTTCTATAAAATAGCCCCATGTGGTTGATCTTTAGATTTCTCCAGTTCTTCCATTTACAGTGATCTACTTTTTTTAAAAGATAAGCCTTCTTTCTTTTTCTTCAGTACGTTATCAAAAGGCTGAACCTTAAACACGCCTCAAGCCGTGAGAGAAAAGCAGCAGAGCAGGAAGCCCAGCTGTTGTCCCAGTTGAAGCATCCTAATATAGTCACCTATAGAGAGTCCTGGGAAGGTGATGATGGCCTGCTTTACATTGTCATGGGCTTCTGTGAAGGAGGGGACCTATATCACAAACTGAAAGAGCAGAAAGGGCAACTTCTGCCAGAAACGCAAGTAGTGGAGTGGCTTGTTCAGATTGCTATGGCACTGCAGGTAACCGATTTCCCATTACCAGGCAATTCTGATATCTTTGAATTTTAACATGAATCGATTTTAGCCATTTTATGTATTGCTCCTTTCTATGGATATTTTTAATGAGCCTAGAAAATAATGAATATAGTCTTCTTGATCTACTTTTTATCATTTTATTAATATTTACAGAGTCAACAAAACTGTGATTGGTAATAACGGTTACACAGCTTGATAGATTTATTTAATATATCCCCCTTCCCCTGCAAGGACCTCATAGTCTATGAAATAATTGTATTTCTTTCATGGAGCATTTCAGTGAGATAAACATGATATGTAATTTGTGAATTCCATTATTTTATTTTTCAGTATTTGCACGAGAAGCACATTCTGCATAGAGATCTCAAAACTCAAAATGTTTTCCTGACACGTTCTAATATTATCAAAGTGGGAGATCTGGGAATAGCCAGAGTGTTGGAAAATCAACATGATATGGCTAGTACTCTGATTGGCACCCCTTATTATATGAGCCCTGAGTTGTTCTCTAGCAAGCCTTACAACTACAAGGTAAAGTATACCATATGAACTAATAATGAACTTAATATTTGGGTATCTATCCTCATGTAACCACACTGCATTATCCTTGAGATGAGGTATTGCCAGTTAAACACACCATGTATGGGCTGCCAGTGTTCAGATAGCCAATAGATGGCAGCAAAGAGCCAGTAGTCTGTATTTGCTATCTTCTAGGGTTGTCTGGATTTTTGCAGATATTTGCAGATTTTTGTCTATTAATAGTGAAATTACAGACTTATAGCAGAACAAGAAAATCTTTACAGAGGCAAAACAGAGACATCCCCCAAAGGCAGAAACTGCTAAGGAAATTTAACATGCATAGTGAATCTAGAATGCTGATTGTCTCTTGAAGGGAAAAGAAAAAAACGTAAGGAAATTTAACATGCATAGTGAATCTAGAATGCTGATTGTCTCTTGAAGGGAAAAGAAAAAAACGTTGGATAGGATGAATGGGATGGGCTATTCTGGAAGAAGGAGTGGTTGATTGTCTGAAAGGCTGAATGCTCCATATTACAACATTTTGAAACATGCCCTACTTGTTAATTCCTAGTGAGTCGTCCTGATGTTCTTCCTTTCCTCCTCCCTGCAAGTTATTTCAAACATATCTATCATGATTCTGTGAGAAAAAATTACATTATTTTCATAATTCCACTGCATTATGATAAAAAAATGATTTCATCTATAAGTAGATTAGAGGGAACAAAAATAGGCAATTTCACAACTTGGAATGGGAACCATGTCAGAAGGCTGCATTGTCTTCTCCAGATAGATTTCTTTTTCTTGCATAACTTTTAACAGCAATTTCTAGTAAAACGTATACTTTGATCTGTTTGCTACACAAGAGGGCAGATTGAGATATTTGATTTATGGGGCGCGTATGATCTGGATTGTGGAGGCAATTTGTATCTCATTTGATTTTATTCTGATGGCTTTAAAAAAAATCCACTACTTGTGCTTTGTTTGCTTTTACAGTCTGATGTTTGGGCTTTGGGATGCTGTGCATATGAAATGGCCACCTTGAAGCATGCTTTCAATGCTAAAGACATGAATTCCTTGGTTTATCGAATTATTGAAGGAAAGGTACATTTTCTGCCTAATATTTACTAGGCTTCCTTCACATAGGAGAATTTCCAACTTCTTGTGTGCTGGAGACATGGAGAATAGAGACACTTGCAAGTCCTACTGAAATATGTGCTACTAAATAGGGGAAATGCTATCCTTTTTAATGAAGAATTTCAAGAATTTCCCCAATACCAAATTAGTAACAAGTGTTGAGTAAATTTGATAAATGTTGCTTTCTGTGTGTTAGGATAAAACTCACTTGTCTGGTATGATAAATGTGGCATCATAAATAGCAATTTATTTGAAAAGCAATTTATTTTAAGGAACTACTAGTATTATATGTTGTTTAGGTTTTCGAGTATATAACTAATCTCATGGTCACATCCATTAAATTCCATGACTAGCAACTTTGGGTATAGCTCAGGAAAACTGATCTTCCCACATTTTCTCTCAGGTTCCCTAGCAATTGTACAGGTAGTTCTCAGTTAACAGCGGTAAGTGGGACTGGAATTTCCATTGCTAAGCAATGCAGCTGTAAAGCACAATCTCATGTGACTTCATCACTTAGCGACGGCAATCCCACCACTTCCGTTGCTGCCATTAAGGATTGCGAGTCATCATGCAAGGATCGCAGGTTGTTAAGCGAGTACCTCCTCGCAACTTCCTGCTGGCTTCCAACAAGCAAAGTCAGTGGGGAAGCCA